TTCGGCGTCCAACGCACATGCAGTAGGGACATTTCAGCTTTAGACTTATACGGACCATGTTCATTTAACGGGCTTAAATTTGATATATATTTTAATAATTTTTATCTTAGCTTAATATTTAAGTTAAGTCACAATCGTTTCAGTGAAAACCTTACTACTATTCTCTCACAATCTCAATGAGCTCAACCACCATAGGGTGCTTCCAAGTTCAAGCCAAGCTTAAACTTTGTCATAATCGTGGACCTCGTTAGAACACTAACTCCATCTGCATAGTTAGCTACTCCACAAGAATGTATTGTTCGAGCAGCGATCGAACAATAAAATTGAGAATAAGAAAATAAATCGGACCGGATTTACGTGGTTTGGTCACTAGACTCCATCTGGGGATCACACTGAGTCACTCAAACACATAGTTTTACTTCACAAGAATTTTTCGACATAACCTCATGTATCACAAATCTTACCACAAGATTTAATCTGCTAAATCACTCACGCACGAAGAAAACACCAGGACGTAATTCCACGAAGACTCACGTCAAGCACTCGATTCGGTGCTTCAGTTCTTCTCTGGACACGAACGGCACAAAGACCACACTCTGCACTCTTCAACTTCTTCTTTTCAAAGTGCCCACGAAAGAATATAATATATGTGCCCAAGAGTTGACCGAGTCATGATCTGAATCAAAAGCCACGTTGGACTTTCTTGTTCAAGCCGTAGACTCCAACATCAATTAGGAAAGAATATTTGTTTCCTCCGGCACATATTTGGAAAGTAAATTTCCAATATTTCCTTTTTGCTCAATTTCGGATGTCCGCAAAATATTAATTCGGAATATTCAGATTTTCGCTTCGGGCTTAAACTCGAGACATATATTCAACTGTATCCGAGATAAAGCAAAACTATCATTGCGGTCATATTTGACAGAAGGTCGAACACGCATCTTGCAAATCCAGTAGCTACAAAAACTGTCGGCTCTACAAGCTCGCGCCACAAACACTCATCCGTGTCGATTATTCTTGGGTAAACCCCCCCCCCGGGGGTTTTCTTAAACTCCTAGGAGCACATCAGTACTGTATTACACGCAAACACTCTAGTCTGCGGAGACTCAAAGGTAATTTCTTTGCTGTCAACAGTTGAATTTATATTCGGGCATCACAGTTGATAGCCCCACTCACCTTGTGCATAGCCACGGAATATACACCTTGCCCTCCATCGAGCTTACCATCACTCGCTCGAAAATAACATGGGCAACAAAACATTCTAAAAATAGAATAATTAGCAACGTTACTTGACGACACTTCATTGGGAGTCCGATATTCAATAGCAGTCAATGGGGATCTATTCACCACGTAGCTTGCCATACTAAGTGCATCCGCTAGAATTCTCCTAGCCACACCAGCACTAAAGATCATGTTACGGGCTGTCTCTAGTAATTTACTGCTCATCAATTCTGCAAACTGTTGTGGTTTACTGTTATCAGTGTGGTGTTTCACTATGCCTCCTTCATGCAGAATTTATTTACCAACTCCGAGCAGAACTCCATGCTATTGTCAGTCCGCACATGCTTGATCGACTTACCCGTCTCCACCTCGATCAAAGCTCTTGACCGTGTGTTCCTGACAACAACATCAAACTTGTGCATCGGCACAAACACCTAGATCTTCCACGAGTAGTCATTAGACTCTTAAACAGATGCATCCGACGTCTTCGGGGCAAAACCTGTTACTGTCTCACCTTGAAGTTCATACATGCCATTGTGCTTGATTCCTCTCATTATCACCAAGGCACCTCGGACAACCTCTAGAATTCCACCTTCTAAAAAATACTTGTAGCCAACTGAATCTAGAGCATCCAAGGAAATTAAGTTATCTTTCAATTCTGGAACGTGTCTTACTCCAGTCAATGTCCTCACAATACCATCATGCGTTTTGATTTTAACATTAACAAGACCTACAACATCGCACTCAGCTTTGTTCCCTAAGTGCACTTTACCACTACCTATGCACTGATAAGTAGTAAACCAGTTCTTATTTGGTGTAGCATAAAAGGAACAAGCAAAATCCATAATCCATCCATCAAATGACGAATCCTCAGTGATAGACAATATACAATCGACACCATCAGAATTATTCTGAGCTACAGTTACAATATCTGTAGACTCAACTCTAATTTCCTTACCCTTTTCATCTTTTAGCTTAAAACAATTTCTTCTAATATGCCCACTTTTGCCACAATTTTAACAGACAACCCCACCGGTCCTAGATTGATTACGTCTGTTCATGTTTATACTATTCCTACTAATACGAGTACTAGTTCTTCCTCTACTCTCACCTACTAATGCAGCAGGCACAAGCTCATTGGATTCTTTTCTACAAATGTCTTCACTTAGAATAAAATCGCAAACCTCATTAAACGTCAAGCTTCTTGACCCATAGGAATTACTGAGAGTAATAATAGTAGAATTCCAACTATCAGGCAATGATGATAATAAAATCAACGCACGTACCTCATCTTCAAAGTTAATCTTAACTGAACTTAACTGGTTAACAACCACATTGAATTCGTTGATATGTTCAGCAACTGACGTACCTTTGCCCATTTTAAAGTGAAATAGACGTCGCATCAAATAGACTTTTTTGATCGCAGAGGATTTCTCGCTCATATTCGACAGGGCTTTCATCAGTCTCGTGGTGGTTTTCTCCTTCACGATGTTAAACACGACATTACGAGCCAACGTTAGCCGAATAACCGCCATCACTTGTCTATCCATCAATTCCCACTTAGCATCTTCCATCGAATTTGGTTTCTCTCCGGATAGTGGTAAGTGCAGATTTCTCAGGTATAGAAAATCTTCAACCTCTATCTTCCAGAAAGCAAAATCTTTCCCGTCAAATCGGTTGATTCTCACCTTTCCTTCTTCCATCGTTATCGATTCGCTTCAAGTCAGTCAACACTGGCTCTGATACCGATTGTTGCGGATAATAGCCAAGCGAATCGGATAAAATAGTCGGAATGAAGGAAAGGAAATCGAATACCGTATTTACGTGGTTCGGTTCGAATTTCGAAATTTACGTCCACGGGGAGAGCAGCACGGAATTTCACTATACAAACAAGCGATACAATGGAGATATAATCACTCGAGTACTCAAATACTCTCTCGGTGTTTCTCAGTCCTTAATTATACCTAATAATTCATTCAGTGTTTAGCTCCTCGTAATCTCTAGTAAAATCTCACCCAAGGAATTAAACAAATTCTACTCACAAAAATTTAACTGGCTGAAATCACTCGGGTATAATTATAACGAACAAACCCTCACGAGAAAAACTCTCTGTCTTGTCTCGGCCACCAAAGGACTTGATGCTCTCTCGGCCACCAAGAACTTAGCGCACTTCCCTTCGTTCCCTCTCTTCCCTTTTATAAGAATAGAATTTGCCCTAAGACAAATCAAGCCGTAACTTCGACGCCTCTCTCGTTAATTCTCCTGGACGTGCACACCAATGGGAAATGACTACCTTTCACTTCCCTTCTTCTTTCTTCATTTTCCCGTTCACATGGCCTTTGTCAAATAAGACAAAAGGCAAGAAGGGAACACATTTAATGTAAGGTGAGCCTCCATCCTCTTTCCTCCATTCATGGCATGCATGCACATGGTCATGTACATGCATTAATGAAGGAGAAGAAAAATGGACGAACATGGACCTGCTTTCCTCTTTCTTTGACCCATGCAAATAGTGCCCATCATTGCACTTTTCTTCATATACGCCAACTCCCACGACTTGCTCCGTTAAATGCTAGCTCGTGTGTTTGCTGCTTTCTTTGATTTCTTCGTAGATCTTCTTTCGGCGTCCAATGCACATGCAGCAGGGACATTTCAGCTTTGGACTTATACGGCTATTAATGGGCCATGTTCGTTTAAAGAACTTAAATTCAAGATATATTTTAACAATACTGGTATCGTAATATAGATGCTGAAGCAGTTTTGTTAGGAGCGCCGAAGTTACTTGACCGAGCATGAATTTGAGGCATTGAAAGAACGTATTGGATTCAGGAGAGTTTCCTGCATAATGTTACCCTTCCTTTGTCCCAGCTTTCAAATTCTCCAGATGAATTTCTCACTTACGGTGAGGTTGGTCTGCGTATTTCCAATGCTCGATTTTATTTTAGCACATCTGGTGTTTTTGATGATGCATGTTCATGTTATAATGTCCTAGACATGGACATTCTGCATGATTTTGCATCATGTTATACGTCAGATACACCTTATACCAAGAAGTAGATAACATCTACTTAATTATCCCTTTTGATTGGTTATGCTTTGAGCAAAGAATGGTCACCCGTAACTAATGGAGCTTATATTGGTTTCTTAAGTCTTTGTAACAAGTACAGATGTATTACGTACACGTGTAATTGACATGAACTTTAGAATGTGAAATGTAATTTCTGAAAATCAAACGATATAAAGGGTACTTATTCTTGACTCACACGATGTAAAGTTTACCTTTTCTTTAAATTTTTGTATGTTTTGTTTCCGTTTTACTTTTAATAGTTCTCAGAAAGAGGAGAGGATCATGTAGTTATTGGTACCCTTGATCTTCGTCTTCCAGCGAAATTACAGGAAAGAAACCAGATGTATGAAGAACTTCAGTGAAGACTCTGCTGCTAGTTGTATATTCATCTTTAACTTGCCATGACCAAGGTGCTATACATCTCGTTGGTAAACTGTCAAACGACTTAAGAGTGAAAAGGTGAAATATGTGTTTTCAGTGAAGAGACTTGTTTTAGATTGTGAGTGGCGATATATCCATGTGGAGATGAAATTCAAGTTCTATATGCTATCGAAACTTTTAACATTAATGGATTAACAAATAAGTTTTTCTAAAGATAGTTGTGAGGACCCTCAATATTGTAAATTCTAATCAAAATGCTGACGCATGTCAAATATGATTTTGTTAGCACTTCTTTCAACGTTGAATCACCTCTCTCGTTTTTTCCTTCACAGGGGATTGAGGCTGATTTTGCAAGGGCATATCCAAGCAATGTATGTGCTACCAAGGAACTTCACAGAAATGGACTCGGTTATGCAATTGTTTCAAAAGCAAAGATCGTTGCTCAAGAAGGGGGTAACATAATTTTATCTTGGCAAAATCAGATTGTTCTGACAAGGTACTGTGATGCATACAAAAAGAGTAAACGAAGCAACAGCGAATCAACTATGTAGTCATTAAATGCAGAATCTACGAACTGAAATTCTTAATCTGACAGTACATTACATAAGAACACAACAACTAACAAATGTGCTGACTTGATCATGTAATTCTGACTGGGTTTCTCCTAATTCACTGTATATATGGTCTTCCAGTTATCCATACATTACTGTTAGTCACTGGAACTCCCAGGAACCTCGGTACATCTTAGAACAGGGGCAAAGACTGAATAGCTTCCATAATCCGGATTTTAATGATGATTCCCTCCGTCTTTGATTTTTGCTTGGTGGAAAATTTAAGTACAACAAAGGATACCAACTATAAAATGGGAAGGGTTAATATTTTTGTGAGTTTCCTGTTCGACTATACTCAATGAGTCCTTATATTTGGTTCTGAGATTTGGCTCCTTCGAAACTCGATTGACGGGTTATGCTAGGCTAGTAGCCTGTGTTCACCGGACCTGCACTCTTTTCTAGCTTGTGTTCACACCATTCTTTACTATTAGTCACTGGAACTCCCTAGGAATCTTGGTGTATATCTTACATCAGTGGCAACTACTGACTACCTTCCATAATCCGGATTATAATAATGATTCCTTGCGTCTTTGATTTTTGCTTAGTGGAAAATTTAAATACGATGGAGGATACCAACTACAATATGGGGTTGAAGGGTTAATACTTGTGAGCGTCTCCTGTTCAACTATACTTAGTGAGTCATTATAGTTGGTTTTGAGATTTACCTCCGGAATACGATCGATGGGTTATGCTAGCCTGCTTCACCCTACCTGTACTCTTTCTAGGCTGCTTTGGCTGTTAATGGGAGTCGTCTAAAAAACATTGTTCTTGCTGGTGGAACTTCATTTTCTGTGAAAAATCGCATTGTCATATAACCTTCACATCTTACTGTTGTTTTGGGTGGCATGTATCTTTGTCATAAGACACGACATGGCTGGCATTCATCTATCTTGGTGTTAATATCTTTCTGTCTTTTCCAGGTGTAATTGATTTGAATGTCATGTTGCTGTGGATGATGAACTGGCTAACAATTCATACACGAAAGTTGACTTCATCTATGAAAGTGACGAACCTGCATTGCGAGCTAGATTTCTTGGATGGCCTCCGAGAGTCTTTTTGTGGAAAGTTCTGCCTTCCACCTATGAATTATAACCTCCCAATGGGAAGTTTTCGTAAATTAGTCAAGGTATATTGCAATTAATGATCAGTCATCCAAGGGCATTCAATGTCATTCTTACGGACCTCTAAACTCTGTTCTATCGACAAAAAAGTTGAAATGAGGGATTTCAGCCACTCGCATGAAATCTAATACTTTATATTCTTCGTCAAGCAATGTCTATTCATCTATTAAAGCTTCTATTACTTTTCATATCAATCTATCAAAGCTTGTTCGAGTTGCCAAAAAGCCTGAAGTGTTATTTCATCCGGCACATCCTGCCCTTAGGTTCAACGTTTGATGCTTGATTTTCTGCCTATTTTGTATTGAAATGCTTTCTGAATTGTTCTATAAATTTTTTTAAGAGAATACGAACACTTACGATGTGATTATCATACTAGTCTCGATAAATTTGATGCAGAGGAATGCCTTGTCCAACTCTATTACAGATCTAGATTCTATAGCAGGAGCCTGATCGCTTCGATCAGCTTCGAGAGAGAGCCAACCTCAGTCAGAGCAAGCTAATGGAATAAAAAAAAATGTTCTGACAAGTATCGTCCTGCAAAGATAAACCGGCTTCACAAAGCATTTTGTTCTGCAGAGTCATGCGCTCCTTGATATGCAGCAACTTGGTGAGATTTCATAATCCAATTGTCTATAGTTGTTAATGATTAAGATTCAGGAGGAAATGCAAATGTTCTAATTAAATCTAACAAGGAAAAGTGGCCTGCAGAATGTCTGCTTTGCTCCTTGACCTCGGTTGAAAATTTGAGAGATACAAACAGCAACATAGCTAGATGGATCCCTGAATGGACGAACACCCTTTGTTTTTTGAGGCTAGACCTTCTGTTGTTGTATGACCAAGATTGAAAAGCTTCCTATGATATCTGTTGTAGCGAGAAGGTCTCCAATGACCCCAAGCTCGGGGAATTCACTCCATTCGTGAAGTCCCATTGTCTGAGGGGACGCTTCTTTCTGGCGCCGCCCCACTATAATGAGGTCATACTCGTTTGCCATAGGCCTTATGACCAGGGCAGTGTTAGGTCCGTCATCCACCATCTCTTCTCTGTACGAAACATTCCTGCTACCAATACTACCGTTCTTGACGTCCTTTAAGACTTCAGAATTATACATCTTTTCCCAGTTGGAAATGCCTTTGTCTGAAGGGTGGGTCATGTGGACTACTTCGAGAGTGATGTTTGTACCGTTTGCCATGCGTTTTGCCAGAGTCAATGCCTCCCTGTCGTCGTTGCCTCCGAGAAAGATCATGGCCACTCGAAGCGGTGACTGAGCTGACGACACCAGCGAATTGGAGCCTCCCAAGTAACCACGGTCAACTAATATACCCACTGAGCAAGGAGCCCTCTCAAGAACACTGCTGTTCAGGATCCTCAGCTTTTTGTCGTCCGATTCCAGGGACCCGTCCTCGGACCACTTACGATGAAAGGGTAGTATTATGAGGGAGGCGAGTTTTTTAAGTGCCAACATGCATATGTCCTCATGCATCAACCTCGGCGGTGAGATCGCCGTGTAGACGTTAGCTGATACGGCGTCCCAATGGTCTTGCTCGTATTGATTGAAAGCCGCGATGATGTTCTCGGAGTACGAGTTTCTGATGAGTGTCCTCTTCTGCATCCTATGATAGATTAAGAGAGGAGAGGCTCGGCCGACCAGCTCGATGAGGTGGAGGCCATAGAGGGCGATGGTTTGTTCTTTGGTGGGGCATGTGGCATCTAATAAGTTGAGGATCGCTGCAACATTATCAGGTCGATGAACGGTGGCGACAATTCGGAGCTCGGCTTTGGGTTTCAGATGCAAGATGTTCCTCCGCTGGTAGCCTGCATATTTCCTCGAAGGGTCGTAGAAATACTTCACGCCGTATGGAGCGATGATTGCGGTCGCCAAGATGACCGCAACCATGAAAGAGTAAATGTCATTGGCCAGAATCTGCAGAGATGCGAAGAAATAGAGAAAGCAAGGACATTTAGTAAAAAGAACTACCAATGAACTCCTTTGGTGATTTTTCCTTGTTTTTTCAGTGTATGTTCAAAATGTTGATTCATTGAGAGAAGTTCTGAAAAGATCACACACCAAAAAGAGAAGTTGCTAAAAGAGTCCATGCTCATCAAATCACAGAATCCGGAGTTCCATGGACAATTGGATATAAGACGAGACATGACAATGCATTTTCACTAATAAGGAATACCTTATTGTCTCTGACAAAGCTCACTGCAACCAAGTCGACGACGCCTTTGCTGCTCATTATGAAAGCAAGGGCCAACATGTCTCGTTTAGGTATCTTCAAGACTATCGAAGGAATCATAGAGCCTATGAATTTCGCCATGACTACTATTGCAGTGACCATGCTGCTAACCTGAAGGTAGTCGCTGCTGAAATGGATCTCTGAGAAGTTTGCCTTCATCACCCTCGTGGTTACCAAAAGAGGCAAAAGCACACCCGAAGTGAAGCAATCCAACTTCTCCACTATGGAAACTCCTAATGGCGGGCCATCAGGAATGGCCAAACCCAGAATAAACGGCGCGAGGAAAGTGGAAATCCCCACCAATTGGAATATCACCGTAGAAGCAACAAAGTACAGAAATATGGCATAGACATACACATTTTTGACCGGCCTGCCTTCCGGAGTTTGTTTAATAATCCAATTCATTGCTGGCCGAATCACTTTGGTAACGAAAGCAAGGTACATGACGATACCCGCGAATTTTCCTGCAGCTTGCCCAGGGTTTCCGCCCCCAACTGCACCAATAGCCAAGGTGGTTACAATTTGCAGAAACATGCTGAGTATATCACTGATCAGCGCAGAAGACAGTCCTAACCGGCCGATTTCCGAGTTCAAGATTTTGAGGTCATCGAGAAGGCAAGCAACGATGGGAAATGGCGTTATAGACTGCAAAGCAACAAAATTAACTAGAGCCAACTTATTATCTCGAGATAGCTGCCACCGAGCACCGAGTTTTACCACACCTGACAGTCCTAGCATCAATGGCACCAACAATGATGCTACGCCAGTGTACAGGCCATTCTTCCCTGTCAGCAGAACCATGTGGAGGTCGATCTTCACGCCCGTCAAGAGAAGAAAAACTAGGTAACCGAAATGAGTAATGGCATCAACCAATTCTTGGCTCTCAATAGTGAAGAGAGACCTCACATTTTTCCCACTGAGGTAGACAAACAGATTAGGGCCGAGGATTATACCAGCCTGGTTCACAAAAACAAGATGAAGAAATCCCGCACCGTCATCAGCCGCTATCATTTCAGGGAAAGAAAAAGATTCTGCTTAATTTACGAAACAGCATGGATAAGTGGAAAAAGCATTGCATCCGTCCCTGCCATTGATGAATACAGTGAATTTCAATTGACTTCCTGGGGAACACTGCAGCGGAAAGAGAGTCCTGAATGACTTCACATGTTTAACCGCATGCGGACTTTTTATTAAGCATCCTGTTGAGAAGTCTTTCGAAAACCATAGATTTGTATAGCTTTGCCATATCCCAAACCATCAACACTTGCAATTAGAAAGCACTTCATCTAGACAATGTTCTTGCCTCAATCCGCTAATCAAGACCGGGGAAGATACCAAATCATTCTTTACGTGTGAATTTTTTCAGAGGCTACATGAAAATGAACCCCCCCATCAACCAAACCGAGAGATTGTCTTCTCCTCCACCGCCTGCTCTACCCAAGAAACAAACTCATTACCTATGCCACACAAGCAGTAAAAGGACGTCAAAATTCGAACTTACAAGAATCTGCGAGACCAACTTCGTCATTCCAATCCGCTTGAGCACGAAATGACAAGCTTCGGTGACGAGGAACACCGTAATCAGCTCCAAGTTCAGCCGAGATAACCCGTAATCCAGCGGATTGTTGGTACGATCCCGAAGGAACGTCCACACACCATCTGAATTGACTCTGGGAGGCAAGTATGGGCATATAGTGTACTCTACAGTACCATTATCAAGGATTCTGTATCTAGGAACCATCACATCAACCTGCAAAAGATGCCTTCTTTTCTCTCTTAAGCTTTCTGGGTCATGACAACGAAGAACGTTCAGCCCTTGTTTTCTGCAGTAATCTGCAGTTAACATGGCGAAACCGAGTACCCAACAAGACATATCATTCATAGTTTCTATTTTTGGACGAGAAGGTGGTTGAGGTACTAAAACTAAAACACGGTGCGAATGTATTTTTGGTGGATGCCATAGATTCTGTTACCAGATTGTCCGAGTTTTTGCTGGAATTGGACGTTAGGCTTTAGTTACAGAATTTGGGCGATACGTTTTGACTAGGTTTTCTAGGTGCTCATGGCATTTTGAGACTGCTAGTCTTAGTTGTAGGGCAAAGAAAAAATCTAATATGCTTAACAAAAATAATTTCTGAACTTTGACAAATTCATTTTTTCATTTATATTCGCCAATTTCTTCGTAAATGCTACTATTTTCCCCCCATTTTCCAGTAACAAATATATACAGTATATATACTTTTGATAGAGCCGCTTTTTGTGAAGTAAATGAGGAGTAATTCCCTTTTTAAGAGCCTATAATTTTGCAATTTGCATTGGATTCAACTATTTTTCTCACTTGAAGGTAGGGGTGTGCAAAATGGACCGCCCGGACCGAACTGAACCGGCTGATTTGGTCTGGGTCCCGGGAGTGTCGGTTTGGTTCCCGGTTCAGTTCCTGGTTCCTAAAAGTGGAATCGGTGTCTGGGCGGTTCAGTTCCTGGTTCCAAGGGAGAATCGGATCGGACCGACAAAATATACTTTTTTTATTTATTCCAAAAAAATTAGTAAAATGTGAACTAAACCCATGTACAATGCTTTTCTCTGATTGTCGCACCACAATGATTCTTCACTCATCATCGTTTCTGCCAATATATTGAGATTTGTCACTCTCTCTCATTGTAGTGGGAAAAAAATAAAAAAGTGATTGGTTCCATTGAACCGGACCGGCGGTCCGATTCGTGGTCCTAGGATCAACCGGTCCGGTCCCCAGGTCTCAAAATTGGGAACCGATCCTCCCGATCCGATTTCCGGTTCTACTATGGAACATGACCGGATCAGGAACCGATCACCCCTACTTGGAAGACAAGAATTTTTGTTATGTACATGGGGCTTTAACAAGGGTATATGAATGAACTTTGTACACAAAACTTTCTCGAGAAAAATAAATACATAATATTTTCAATCTGAGCTAGGCATCGGGAAGTATAGATTCTCGAAAATTTATATGCAAAAAATAGTAATCTGGAATTTAGGAATTCAATTAACGCATCGATTTGTTGTAACGAAGGCGTTCTACTATCAAATGTTAATAAATCAATTTATGTATGATTAGTAAATGTGCAAATGCGTCACGCGTATGCAAAAAATTTCACATTTAAAAGATTAAGCGAAACCACTTTCAACTGCACTAATCAAACATTTGAATCATCAAATATCAAAAGGAAATCATTGATAAGAAAATTAATTTACAAAAGGAAATCACTTTAAACTTCGCTAATCAAACAGTTTCTTCGCCGTCGCATCGCAGGGGAGTTTCTCTTTCCCTGTTTGCCCCTCTTCCCTTCCTCTGAAGACGCCCGCGCGGGCGCGCCCATTTCGTCATCCGGGATCTCCCGCTACACAGTCCGCACTGCGTGTTAAAAGTTCAGATTTTGAAACTGTCTGCAACTTGAATTGGATCATATCTCAGCTGGGTCAAGTGAGAAGAGAAACAAAAGATATGCTTGATGGGTACTGGTTAAAGTTCGAGTTCACCGCAGGAGAGACCCATCTCGAGATGATCTTGAAACTCTTTCTGTCATATCTAAATGAAGTCAGTTATGTTGTGCTAATATGATGGATTGTTCTCCAAAAATATGTCCGGATAGAAACGAAGAAATTTTTAGCATGGTTAGAGGATATGAATTTGCAGATGCCAATAATGTGCCTATATAGTTTTCTTATTTTGGCTATCCATGTGAATCTGTTGTGGAAGGTGATTCATTTCCCAGGAAAAAGAGATATAATGGTGGTTTTGGCCAAAGCTTGAATTTTTTCGCTCTTGATTGCAAATGGTGAATGCGCTTTCATTTTGTTTATTTTTCATTCATCACTATGTCTGCTTAAACTCTGATCTTCATTTCCTTATTCAGTTTTGCTTACCTACGTACAATATGATCACTGTCTATGCATTTGCAGCGACCATGCGATAGAGACATTGTGTTTCTGCTATTGCTGGTGGTGGACAAATATGGCAGGATTTGAAACCCAAAGAAAAATTAGAAGAATCATGTTTGTTCCTATCAGAAAAGAGAGTGCTGTTGCTTTGTTTGGCTGTGCGAGTGTTGAATTCCTTGCTTGTACAGACATATTTCAACCCGGATGAGCACTGGCAAGCTCTGGAAGTTGCACACCGTATTGCATTTGGGTAAGTTAGCCTCCATTAATTCTATAGCTGCATCTTTTATACATATGTTTTGTTGCTAGAAAAATTGTTAAAAAGGATGGACATTGAAAGTTCGATATATAAATTACCAGCTATGGACACCTGACGTGGGAATGGAAAAAGGGTATGCGAAGTTATCTGCATCCAATGATATTTAATCTTCTTTACAAAGTTCTCGCAGCACTTGGTCTTGATAAACCTCGGTTCATGGTAAATACTGGAAACTAGAACTTTTTCTATTATAAGATTGATGAATAACTCAAGCAATCAATATTCTTACCGTCATCTCTTATATATATATTTTTGGTCAAAACTGTCATCTCTTATATGCGAAGCTGCTTTTCTTGCTTTGCAGATGAGGGCTCCAAGGCTGCTCCAGTTAATATTTGCTGCAGTTGCTGATCTCTACTTATATAAACTCTCTTGCCTTCTTTTTTGGCAATTGTGTTGCTAGATGGGCGGTATCCTTGTGCTATTACGATTTGCAGCATCTGTATCGTCCCCTTCGTACTAAATTGTTGATTTGTGGAATTTTCTGCTAGAAGTTTAACAATATTGACCTTAACTTTCTGTCAGTTATTTTCTGAGTTGACAAACTGGTTTATTCTGCATTACACGGACATTGTCAAATAGTTTGGAAACTGTCCTTACAATCATGGGGCTGTATTACTGGCTGTGTTTGAAAGTTTCATCCAGTAGTGATGCCTCATTGACCAGGATATGGGGCTTGGTAGTGGCAGCATTTGCATGTGTAATTCGACCAACAAGTGCCATTATATGGATTTACGTCGGCCTTCTAGAGCTTTCTTTGGCCCTCGATAGAATGAGATTCATTTTTTTGGAGGTTCATTCTGTTGGGTGGGTAATCATGCATCTATTCTTTCTGGTATGGCTATTTGATGGCATGCAACTGTGTATGCATTTTGCACGATTGATTTATGCTTTTCTAATATACTGTATAGGGCGCTGGTGCTTGGACTGGCAACTTTACTCGATCGGCTAGTGTATGGCTCATGGGTTCTAGTACCTATGAACTTTTTCATGTTCAATTTTCTTTCTTCCAGTGGCGACTATTATGGAACCCACAAGTGGCACTGGTACTTTACTCAGGGATTCACAGTGTTGCTCTTTATGTTATTCCCCTTCTCCGTAGCTGGCATCATCATGTCCAGAAATTGGAGGTTTCTGGGCTTATTGCCTGGGTTTTAGTACTTTATAGAGTACTTGGCCACAAAGAATTTAGGTACAGGTGATCCCTTTGTAATTGCTTATATGCTATTTTGAATTCCTGCTTTTTTCCTATTTATTCTCTTTTGTAACCAGAAATGTGGACCCAGATTTGTTCTCCCTGTGCTTCCGTTAGCTTTGATGTTCTCGGGATTTTCTCTAGCTGCAATGTCGGCACACTACATTTCTGATGGCAAGACAGCAGAACCTTTGGAACATCATACTAAATGCCCCTCAAGAATGTGATGGGCCATCTGCTTCTTGCTTGCAACTAACATCTCTATGGCCTTGTACATGAGCTTAGTTCATCAGGTACTTCAGAATTTTTTCTGTCTATGATTGAAAAACTGGGATGCTTCTGCTTTCATTTGAATTTTTCTTTATCCTTTTACTTTGAATACATTGGAATGCCAGAATGGCTCTGTTAACTAAGGCCTTTTTCATATTTCATCAATAAATGTAGGTTGAAACTTTTCTTGTTGAATTACTGAGTACTTTGGTCTGCTGGACAGAGAGGATCTGAGAATGTGATGAACTTTCTATCCTTTTCCTTATGCCCTACCATTTCAACCCTTCATTGGGACCTGCCCATGCGTTTGTTGGACTGCTCACCAAGGTAATCTTTGATTGCTTCCTGTATAAAACCGATCTATCTGTCTAAGGTCTAAGTCATGGATTTGCGTTTGATTTTGCTCAACAGTGAAGAGATGGGTGTTCCAGATGAGTCAGACCATTTTAAAATGGATCCCGTAGGGTCTACTGAAGAGCTTGCAAATGATCGGTCACTACCGAGTCACGTAATTTTATTTGAATCAGAAGAAAGAGCGTTGAGGGAATTTTTGCTGTTGCATTCTTTTCTTTCAAAGAGGTGGATACTAATTTCAACTCAACACCGTCTTAATCCCAGTGCATTTTCTTTTGGTTTATATTTCTTCCTGGTTACACAAGCTATCAATGATCGCAGGTGAAGACATTCTTCCATGCTCACTTCAAGGTGGATTGTGACCTCCAATCATCAATGGTTGTCTTTGCTTTGACAGCTCAATGAGTTATGTGATCATGCATTTGTTATTCGAGTTCTCCGCAAGTTTGCCGTTGTTTTTTCACATCCTATTTTGACTTTGCTCGAGAACTTCAACTGCTTTTTTAGAGTGGGAACACTGATTAGAATGTGGCGGCAATTCGTAGGTTATGATCTTTGGCAATTCTTTACTTTTAGCATTTGTCGGCCTTTTTTAGTATTAAAAGCTGTGGAATTCAAATTAGTCTATGGGTTCACTAGAATGTGTCCTTGTGAGCTGCGGATTCCTTTTGATGTTGGTAGTGTTGGAGTTTCATGTATGACGCAGCGTTCAGTGAATAATTCAAGCAAAACCTTGCTTAGAGAGAGTAATCTCGAAATTCAATATTGATAATAATGTTCTGTTCTTCAAAACAAACCCTAAACACCCTTTTATAGGGGTTAAACCTAATTACAATAGGAAACCTAATCATAATAGGAAAGTTACTTAATCTGAATTGGAAACCTAATCATAATAGGAAAGTTAACTAATTTGAATTGGAAACCTAATCATAATAGGAAATCTAATCATAATAGGAAAGTTAATAAGCATCAAATAGCAAAATTACAAAAACGACCATTGAAATTAACTCATAAAAAAATACTAAAATAATAGAAAAAAACCATCTAATCGCATCACCGTTTCGCTTTCCGTTTGGACTTCTGTTTGTCCAATCGGTCCAGAAACGCACCACTAATAAATTCCGCATCATTCTCCTCCACTTGAAAAGAACTTGTCCTCGAGTTAAAATCAGGATCTGGATATAACGGCTCTGTGGACTCATGAAACGGTGATAAATCAGTAACATTAAAAGTGTTGGATATGTCCATGCTATGTGGAAGGTCTATAACATAAGCATTATCGTTGATCTTCTTGCTGACAGTGTAAGGCCCATACTTCTTTTGCTGCAATTTGCTATAAGATCCAACTGGTAATCGCTCTTTACGAAGAAAAATCATGACTTGATCACCTACCGCAAACACCTGCTTTCGCCTGTGCTTATCTGCTCCAGCTTTATACTTTTGATTAGCTTCCTCTAGGTTCTGTTTGACTTCATGATGCACTTCCACAATCTGTTTAGCCATATGATCCGCTGCTACACTTTTATCCGCTTGCTTAGGCAACTGTACCAAATCCAGAGTATGCTGAGGCGCCTTTGTATAAACAACAAAAAAAGGCGACTTGCCAATAGAACTATGAACTGCATTATTATAAGCAAACTCTGCTTGTGATAAAGCAACATCCTATTGCTTCGGCTTATCTCCACAAATGCTTCGAATCAAGTTTCCTGGAGTTCTATTAACCACCTTTGTTTGCCCATCAGTCTGCGGATGAGCTGTGCTATTGAAATTCAAAGATGAATCAAACAACTTCCACAAAGTCCGCCAAAAATGCCCTAGAAATTTGCTATCCCTATCTGAGGTAATAGACTTGGGCACACCATGCAAACGAATCACTTCCTTAAAGAATAATCTGGCCACACTTACTGCATCAGAAGTCTTCCTACAAGGAATGAAGTGCGCCATCTTAGAAAATCTGTCAACCACAACGAAAACAGAATCCACGCCTCTTTGTGTCCGTGGTAAACCAAGCACAAAATCCATGGACAGATCTTCCTATATATTGTCAAGAACAGGTAATGGCATATATAAACCTGTTTTATTAGATTTCCCCTTAGCAGTCTGGTAAACATAACACTTTTATACGTACCTGCTGACATCTCTACGCAACTGGGGCCAGTAAAATCGCTCCCGGACTGCAGCAATAGTTTTATCACGACCTAGATGTGCAGCTAATCCACCATCATGTAAATCACGAATTACCTTCTCTCGTAATGATGTCCGAGGAAAGCAAAGCTGATTGCCACGCATCAGATAACCATCCTGCACATAAAATTCTTGTATAGGTTGACTAGCAACACATGACTCCCAAAATTTTCCAAAGTCATCATTATCTGCATAAGTCTTTCAGCTGCTTGAACCCTAGAATTTCCTAGCTCAACGTAATCAACAAGCCAGCTCTCCTACTTAATGCATCTGCCACAACATTATGCACACCTGACTTGTGCTGTAATCTGAAAGAAAATTTTTGCAAAAATTGACACCATCGCGCATGCATATCTTTGCTAATCATCTTTTGACTATTCAGATACTTCAAAGCTTCATGATCAGAATAAAGGACGAATTCTTTCCTAATCAGATAATGCTCCCAGGTCTTCAAAGCCCTTACGACAGAATAGATTTCTTTATCATAAGTGCTCCACTTCTGTCTTGCCTCGCTAAGCTTCTCACTGAAATAGCAAATTGGTCTGCGCTCTTGAGATAAAACAACTCCTATACCAACTCCACTAGCATCACAGTCCATTTCAAAAAGTTTATCAAAATCAGGTAAGGCAAGAACATGTGCAGTACATAACTTCTCATTCAAAATAGCAAAACTATTCTCAGCTTCCTCTCCCCATAGAAATTTGCCTTTCTTCATACATTCAGTAATCGGAGCTGCGATAGTACTGAAATTCTTAATAAATCGCCGATAGAAAGTAGCCAACCCATGAAAACTCCTAACGTCAGAAACTATTTTAGGAGTCGGCCACTCTCTGATTGCTCTTACCTTCGCCTCATCTACTTCTATTCCTTCAGCAGTAATAACAAACCCTAGGAATAACAACTTATTAGTTAAAAAACTGCACTTCTTAAGATTAATATATAGCTTATTAATCTGCAAAGCTGTCAATACCTCCCTTAAGTGTAATAGATGATCCTCCTCGGTTTTACTATAAATCAGGATATCATCAAAATAAACTACAACAAATTTGTCAATAAAAAGATTTCAGAACCTGATTCATAAGCCTCATGAAAGTGCTTGGAGCACTGGAAAGTCCGAAAGGCATCACTAACCATTCGTACAACCCCTCCTTTATTTTGAAAGCTGTCTTCCACTCATCTCCGGGCCGAATTCGAATATGATGGAACCCATTCTTCAAATCTAGCTTCGAGAACCACTTAGCACCGTGCAACCTATCCAGCATGTCATCCAATCTCGGAATTGGAAACTTGTAACCCACGGTTATCTTATTAATGGCCCTGCTATCTACACACATCCTCCAACTCCCATCTTTCTTAGGAGTCAACAAAGCCGGAACAGCACATGGGCTCATGCTATTCTGAATGTGTCCCTTTCGCAACAACTCCTCCACCTTCTCTTTTAGAATCTCGCTCTCTTTAGGACTCATCCTGTAGTGCGGTAAATTAGGCAGACTAGCACAAGGAATTAAGTCTATATGGTGCTAAATATCGCGCATAGGCGGCAGCGTCATACCGCTTGCGAGAAAACTCAGACCCTTGCGGATGTGATAACGGTCAGATTGAGTGTTTTCGATGTTCTCGCATTAATGGACGGGACAAACAGCCTTTTTCAATGAGAGTGAGTGGAAAGTCCTTTCTGACTGAAGGTCCCTCATTCAACATCTCGAGAAGTCCACCTTGCGAGCGAAAATTGTCTTGATTGGTAATTACCCTCGGTGGATGTTTGGTGATGCAAACATGGCAAAATCATCATGCATGAACTTTCAAATACACATTCTGGAATAGCCTAGCTTGTCTATCCTTGATGAATGCATGCATGTTTGCGCTAATCGTCTTTGACAGCTTAGAGTTTTGATCCCCAGTGATAGGACACGAAAATGTGGGCGCTGGAGAAGTCCTCATTATCATCCCAAGAGAGATGCCCCGAAAAAGGTCGGGTATTCAACAGATGATGCATCAAATCTCCGGGTAAGAAACCCTAGGTATTTCTTCAGAATTCTTTTCAAACTACCTAGAAGGTAAATAGGGTGTTCCTTTTAAAAAGAAAAGCATCTTGACTAGCTGGTCAAGATATTTTATACGATATTCTAGAATAGCTTCAGTTGTCTATTTCTCCAATGAATGCGTATGTCTTTGCACGAAAAAACTTATCTGACAGGAGACATGCCCTTAAGAGGCAGGAACGTGCCCAGGTAAGTATATTCTACCCATGTCCGGTTCCAAAAATCCATGTACCTACGATTGTTATGGTACCTTTTGAATATTGGATTGACCCCTCTGTTCACAAACTGAATATTGGATTGACCCCTCTGTTCGCCATGTACCTACGATTGTTATGGTACCCCTCCTGAGCATGGGACTGACCTCCTCTGTTCACGTCAAATCCTCGGGCGAGGGCCCCCAGGTGCTCATCGTTTGAGTTTTTTTCAAGACCTGCTGGCGAGGACCCACCAGGCAAACCATCAAATCCTCGGGCGAGGACCCTCAGGTGCTCATCGTTTGAGTCTTTTCAAGACCTGCTGGCGAGGACCCACCAGGCAAACCAACAAATCCTCGGGCGAGGACCCTCAGGTGCTCATCGTTTGAGTCTTTTCAAGACCTGCTAGCGAGAACCCACCAGGCAAACCAACAAATCCTCGGACGAGGACCCCCAGGTGCTCATCGTTTGAGCCTTTTCAAGACCTGCTGGCGAGGACCCACCAGACAAACCATCAAATCCTCGGGCGATGACTCCCAGGTACTTTGTCAAAGCAAAATCCAGTCAAGGCGACCGAAAAAAGGTTCGGGTCCTAGACAAACGAAATCCAGTCAAGGCGACCGAAGATAGGTTCGGGTCCTAAGCAAGCGACTTCCCCAGTCAAGGAGACCGAAGAAAGGTTCGGGTCCTAGACAAAAGCAATCCCCGTCAAGGCGACCGAAGATAGGTTTGGGTCCTAGACAAACCATTTCTCCCGTCAAGGTGATCGAAGACAGGTTCGGGTCCTCGACACACAATATCAACTATCTGGAATTACTCTACCCTTCGACAAGGTAAGTAGCCCTAGGTATGTTTTATCTGCTTTAGCACGCATCATCTTATCGCATCATAAAAAATGGGACTCACGGTCTTGCCAAAAATAGCATTCATTGAGCATGCATGGGCCAAATTTAGGTGTCATTTTATCTTTGAATGCAACCTCTGCGAATGCAACCTTTGCGAGCTCACTTTCAAAGAGGGGCAGCTGTTGATACCTATTTTTAATTGCCCAAAATTAATTACACAAAATTTAGGAGTTAATTTTCTTTAATTCCTAAAATAAAAAATATTTCTATTTAAATGCATTGCATATAGAAATTAGGTACATTTTATATTAATAGGGTCTATTAGAATTAAAAAAAAAAAAATTCGAGTCGGGTCGGGTCAGG